GAAAAGGCAGATACCTGCTCACTTAGTTTCATCTGCTTCCTGCTTCTCTTGAGGAACCTTCTAGAATTACAAAGACCCCACTTTTTTTTTCCTTGCTTTCACATCCCCTTCGGTGTATTTAGACTTCAGTGACTACAGAGCAACCAGGCGGATTCACTTTTTTACCTGGTTTTGGAGAATCTTGCTTGCTTCCTCCCTGAAAAAGGGAATAAATAACTAGGAGGGTTCTGCAGCTGTAGACAACGGTTCTCTTCCCATGCAGAGAATTCGTACCGTAGTGACAAAGGAACCTTGGCCAAAAGGATTTTTATGGCCGAGCCTTCAGATACAGCTACTATTAACAAAGAAAAAAAAAGTTTAGAAGACATAATTTGTTACATGAGTTTCAGTGGTGAATTTTTTGCCCCTGGTTAATAATAATTTATAAAATAAGCCCAATACACAAAAGAGAGACGTCAGTGGGATGACAGGGAAAGGGACATAGATAGATACACCTTTATATTTTTTACACAGCTATTCTAATTTGTGCTGAAAACTTCATGTACTGATAAATAACTTCTACTTGGCTGCATGAAACTTTTTTGTTCATATTTCTTTGTTTGTGATTTTTTTTTTTTACATTTTTAATTTTTTTTTACACGTCAGTCCATTTACACTTTCAGTCCATCTTTCTCATCCATAGCATTTCCCTATTCATTTTATCCACTGCATCTTCTCTGCTCATCATTGGTAGAAGATTCCGGCAGCACGGCCTGCATGTGGCTCCCTCCTCTTGTGCTGGCATGTGATGGTGGCACCGTTGTGTTCTCTTCCTTTCCCTTTTTACTAACAGACGCAGACCAAACTGGAGCATGCCCGCATTAAGGAGCTTGAACAGAGCCTGCTCTTTGAAAAGACCAAAGCTGACAAACTCCAGAGGGAGTTAGAAGACACTAGGGTAATGGTTTTCACTATTTCAATAACAAGACTGGTTTGTGTTGTGGAAGATTTCTGATGACACGGTCTGCCGGGTGTAGCACATGCTGAAACAGATCTTGCTCCTGCCGTGACCGGTACCTGCCAAAGGTGTAGCTGGGACACTCACAGAGTTAGCATGCGTTTTGAGCTTCGGGGGGGTGGTGGTGTGTGTACTCCTTTCTTCAGAGGAATTCAGGTAAGATGTCCTAAAACTGCAAAGTTAATACTGGAATCCAAGGCAAAAGTGCAAATGGGGCTGTGAATTGACCTGAAGGAATGTTCCCTGGTTCAGGTTTAGGAGTAGCAAAGTTGATTAAATAAAAAAAAAAAAAAAGATCAACTGTGCCGATGCTTTTAACGCAAGGTTTGTACGTTGGGCTTGGTTTCTGAGGAGTTAAACAGCTGTTGTACTACTTGCTTTGCTAAATCCTGCTTTGCAGTGGCTTTTTCGTTGTGTTTTTTCTACCCATGATGTGCTCTCTTCATGGATACCCCAGTAGCATTGTCAAACTGTTGCCTGTGCAAACAGTACTGGCCGTGCTTTGTCCCAAGTCAGAAGTTAGCAGCTATCAGTTCAGGCACCTGAACTGTTGAGTGATGCTCACACGGGCGCCTTTTCTTGAAGCTGAGGTAGGGTGAATATTACACACCCAAGGACATACTCTGTAATAAGTATTTTTAAAGACCAATTGCAGGTAAGTAACACGTTTTTCAGGATGTTGGTATAATGAGGAGGCTGAAATTGGAAATAATTAGTAATAATTGTGGTAGCTTTGCATGCTTTTCCATCCCACAAGCTGCTCCACCAGTCAGTGGAAAGCTCGGATGATGCGAGGACATTTCAGAGAGAGCAGTGGAATGGGTCTGGGAGTTTCAGAGGACTTGTGGGCTGAAAAGGTGTTTGTATTTTTCTCCAACAGTCTTCAACCTGGCATGAGATTAATTTGGGAGCAATTATTTCAGCAAATAAAGACCTCGGGGTTCTCTGTTCTTTTTCAGTCTGCTTTAGAATGGTTCTGAGGAGTGTTTTGTTAAACGTGGATAATACACGTAAACGCAGTTTGTAAGTTGTTTAGCAAGTTGTTCTTTCTAGATAACTTCAGAAAAATGAGTTTAACTAAATTCCGCCTTTAGAGACAATGTAATATGCCTGTAATACAAAGATGTGGACATTTTTCCTTTTTTAAAGCAATAATTTGTATGAAAGTGAAACAACAGTTTTGTGGTACCGTTCTAGGATTCTGTGTGAGGGCAACATTTGCTTTTACTTAAACCTTCTTTACACTTTCCATAGCAATAGGAGTTGACAAAGACTCAAAGGTATTCTGACCCAAAGTGTGAGTAAAACTACACTAATTATGTTAGTTTGCAACCCTCAGTGCTTTTTTTCCCCTGAGCCTTAAGTGTCTTTGTATTAAATGTACCTTTTATCATTCTTTCTTCTTTTCTTAAAATGCCGTTAACCGTAGGTGGCCACGGTGTCAGAAAAATCTCGCATCATGGAGCTCGAAAGAGATCTAGCATTGCGGGTGAAGGAAGTAGCTGAGCTTCGAGGGAGATTAGAGTCTAGTAAACACACTGATGATGTGGACACTTCTCTTTCATTGTTACAAGAAATAAGTTCTTTGCAAGAAAGAATGGCAGCAGTTAGCAAAGAACATCAGAATGAGGTGAATTCGCTGAAAGAGAAGTTTGGAATTAGCGAAGAAGCATTGCAGAAAGAGATCAAATCACTTGCAGCTTCAAATGAGAGGATGGCAAAGGAAAACGAATCCCTGAAAACCAAGCTGGATCACGCCAACAAGGAGAATTCCGATGTAATAGAGCTGTGGAAGTCGAAGCTGGAATCTGCAATTGCCTCCCATCAGCAAGCAATGGAAGAACTGAAAGTTTCTTTCAGCAAAGGGGTAGGGGCTCAGACAGCTGAATTTGCAGAGCTAAAGACTCAGATTGAGAAGATAAAATTAGATTATGAAAATGAAATGTCAAATCTAAAACTGAAGCAGGAAAATGAAAAATCTCATCATTTAAAAGAGATTGAATCACTGAAAGCAAAACTGTTGGCAGTCACAGAGGAGAAAGAGCAAAACCTGGAAAGCCTGAAGACCAAACTGGAAAGTGTGGAAGATCAGCATCTGGTAGAAATGGAAGACACTTTAAACAAATTGCAGGAAGCTGAAATAAAGGTAAAGGAGCTAGAGGTACTGCAAGCCAAGTACAGTGAACAAACCAGAGTTATTGATAGTCTTACACCACAGATCAGAGCTGCTGAAGAAAAGCTTTTGGACCTTGCTGCACTTCAGAAAGCCAGTTCTGAAGGTAAATTGGAAATCCAGAAACTTAGCGAGCAGCTTGAGGCAGCTGAGAGACAAATTCAGAATTTAGAGGCTGAAAAGGTTGATGGAAATAGCAAGGTTTGTATCAACATCCATCCTTCGCTTTTATTTTACATCTGTGCTGCTCCAACCTGCTGTCACAACTACATCACAGGCAGAACGGGTTCCACTGAGTGTACCTTGGCACCGTCTGAGGAGGTTTAGAGAAAACGTTAACGGGGTCACCTCTCTGTAGGTTTCTGGTGCTCAGCCAGCACCACTAGGCAGCAGAAAAAACACTATTTCTGCTCGTTCTGGCTGCAGGCTTCGGCATGCCTCTGCGGGAGGCTGCGTGCTGCGGCCAGGTGGGATTGCTGGCCTGCCGGGGAGAGTGTCCGCACCTCGGAAGCTGCCAGCCTTCAGTGGTGGAAGAGTTCAGAGCAAGTGGCCTTGGGCTCAGGGGGCAAGTGTTTCCTCTGTACCTTCTCTGCCTTGCCTCTTGTCAAACGGGGTGATGGAAGAGACGGTTAAACCCAAGGGAAAGCAGGTGGAACTGTTCTTTAGGACAAGGGGATGCGGGGATGCCGTGCGGCGCTGTTTCGTGATGTTTTTGAAGCACAGACTGTGCAGTGATGCAGCTTAGGAGGCTTTTCTTGGGTTTGGAGGAGTTGTGTCTAGGCTGTTAGCTTGGCATTCAGTACTGGAAGGTTATTCTACCACTGCAGCTAGGAAGTGCCAAGATACTTCATTCCAGGGGTTCCCCCACATCTGTGCATGACCTGACAAGCCAGAGCTCAGATTGTACAGGTGTTGGGAAGGTGACTGGAAACAGCTTTCCTAAATCCTTCACAGATGGTTCCAAGGTACTAGATTTCTTTGGCTCTATTTTTGGGGGCGACACTGGGTGCCTGCACTACCCCAGGGCATGGTACAGAGCCTTCGGAAAAATCCTATCCCCATCTGTACTTCTGTCGGAATGGCAGATGCTAAACTGATCCATTAAACAAATGAAAACAGTAAAGAGGCAAAACTACTAATTCAACTGATGCTGCAACTTTGTTTTGAAATTTGGATTGTAATCAAAATTGTCTGCAATTAAATAACGTTTTCACTGTTGGTTCCAAGAGAACTAAATTTTAATGATTTCGGATGTATCCCAAGGTGCAGCTGGTACTGTGATGTATGTAGTCGTCAGTGGAAATCAGCTTCACTCAGCTAACACTTCGCTTTTTTGTCTTCAGTGCTTTTTCATATTTTATTTTACAGTGATTTTAACATTACAGTTATTTCTTTCATATTCAACTTTTAATTTTCCTATTTTTTCATTCATGTTTGTAATTTTATTTTACTCCATCTCATCATCCTTGCTAGGCTAGTAATCTGGCCAGAGAACTGCAGGGCAAAGAGCAAAAGCTTCTTGACCTTGAGAAAAACTTGAGTGCAGTAAATCAAGTTAAAGATTCTTTGGAAAAGGAACTTCAAGTTTTGGTGAGTAATACCCCAAAATTTTGACTTTATCCTTTGGATTTGGGTTTTTGTGGAGAGAGTGTAATTGAAATGAGTGGATCGCCTCTGAGCAAAGTCCTTCAGAGCTGTTTTACGCATGACGAGAAGGCAGAGGTCCGTGACTGATAGGATCCGTCTCAGAACGAACAGGTATTTCACCTGAGTTCTGTCTCTCAGGCGTTTTGTCTACATAGAACTTGTCTGCTTATGGATTTCAGATGAAATGTTCAACCAAATCAAAAGCAGCATGTAGTTCATGTTTAGACAACTCAGTTAGGAACACGTGGCCCTTTATCATAACTCGCGTACAAATTAATGCTTGCTGTACACCTCTTACAGATGGGCTTTGAAGGCATTTTTCATACGATTTCTCATTTTGCAAATTTGATTAAATTCTGTAGTTGGGTGGCTGAGAAACCACACTGGAGTTAGTAACAAAAAGACATGCTTGTACGTTTTACTGCCCCTGTTGAAGTCTTTCCACGGCCGTAGCAAATGATTCAGGTTGGTGGAAGAGTCTCGCTTCTTCCTGTCCTCAACATCCTGCCTTTTCTTCACAGTCCAGCAGCTCTTCCTGCTGGTAGAGCTGGAAAACGCTGGCATGAGACTGCTGGCAGGGTTGCAGGTGTCCACTGCGCAGCCTGTGAGCAGTGTGGATAGCTTCCTGCGCCGAGACCCAGAGGTCGCGGCTCCTGTGCGGCGGCTGCAGTTCTGTTGCTGTGCTGGCTGCTGGAAGTTACTTTGAAAGTTTAGGGACTTGCAGCCAGGGCAAGGGAAAATCTTGCTTTGTGTCACTGCATACGTATGCTGAACTGTAATTCAGAAACTTCAGATCTGTTTACGCTAGGAGTGAAGACTCTTCTATTTTGTACTTGAAAAATACCTAATATAAATTCAGTGGCCAATTTACACTGCTGTTGCCAAACCTTACTGTCGATTTCTATCCTTTTTTCAGAAAGAAAAGTTTACTAGTGCAGCTGATGAAGCAGAAAACGTTCAACAAACTATGCAAGGTATGTCTGCTGCTGAACGAAAGAAAGAACTCAAAAGCTGCAGAAAACAAATGCAAAATAAAGGGTTTTCTTCCACGTGCTGTCAGATTTACACCTGGCAGCACAGCACTTTCAGCAGCTGTGGAAAGGACAGGATGAGTTGCAGCCTGTCCTCTTAAGAGTAATATACTTGCCAGTAGGTGGAACTGTCTGCATCTAAGCAGTTACTAACTTTGTTTTCAAAATTTTACTTGCGTAGAAACAATAAAAAAACTAAGCCAAAAAGAAGAGCAGTTTGCAGTCATGTCTTCAGAACTGGAACAGCTGCAGTCTAGTTTGACTGGTAAGGAAGTGATGGAATGCTTTGACAGATGCGTCAGCTTTGTGCTTTCGTATGCCTCCTGCTCAGCTCACCACGGCCTAGCGTGTGACACTTTCACAAGTGCGTATGCCCTCAGGAGGAGCCTTTTCTCTAGGCAGAAAGCGGTTTTTGTGGCCCTGCGTACAGTGACGCGGCACGGTCACCGTGATGTTGAGGAAGTAGCGCAGTGAGGCAGAAGATCTCCTGGTTGAGCGTGTCCCACACCAAGTGTGAAATTCTTGTTTGATGCTGCAGCGCAGTGATGTGGCAGTGGTCAGGCACCAGCCAGAGGCTTGGGGACCAGACTGCAGCATTACGAGTTCCAGGAGTGGGTTCTTTTTGACAACAGCAGAAAGAGTGGACGTTGGTCTGGTTGTCTGCTTCTTCCTGTCTCAACGGAGGGAGTCCTTCTGTGTCTTTCTAGTTGTACATCTCAGTTTAAAACCAGTGTAGAAAGAAATGAAGAATGGTTATGTACCCTGTGAGCACACCTTTCAAGCCATTGTGGGGGCTGTAGAAGTCACCCCAAGGCCTGCTCTTGCCCTTGGTGGCAGTGCCTGCCCTGGATTGAATCATTTTTTCACTGTAGCTTCTTGTTGCTTGCATTGTCTTTCGCTGCTCTACTAGGGAGCTGGTGAGTTGTCTCGCCTGGCAGCTGTGCACACCTCTCTTAGCTATTGCTTCCTTGCCCTCTGATACGCGTGGGGCTCGTATTGGCTTCTCGTGGCCTGAAGTTAAGTGAAGTACTTCCGAAGGAAAGATTTCTTGACTAGTTGGGTTTTTTTTATTCTTTCGGAAGAGTTCTTAACCTTCTGCTACAGCTCGCATTTCAAAAGCTAATCAGTCATAATTTTTAATTTTAAAGGGGTAATTTGCAAGCTCTAGCATTGATGCTGTTCTGCTTATAGTTCTTTACTATTTTCTCACTAGTCTGTGCGTACCCTTTCTCTTAAATTTACTCGACTGCTAACCTTTGTCTTGCTCAGTGATGGAGAAGAAATTGAAGGAGCGAGAAGAGAGAGAACAGCAACTGACTGAAGCTAAAGCCAAACTGGAGAACGATATTGCGGAGATCATGAAGTCCTCAGGAGACAGCTCTGCCCAGCTTACGAAGATGAACGATGAGCTCCGCTTGAAAGAAAGGTATTCCATCACTGTCGGAGCATTTGCACATTAATTCTTTACGCCCGCCCTCCCGGCTTCTCATTTTATCTTTCTGTAAATACCTGAACGAGGTGCTCCCGAGTGTCACATCGATGTGACAAGTGAACTCTGTCAAACTGAAGTCAGAGTGGCTTGAAGAGCCTCTAACTTTTATAATTCTAGAAGTCTTACGTGACACGTTTCTCATTGTCCGGAGTAAACGAACACTTTAATTATCGATCTAGATTTAATGATCTGGACTGTTTTGTGATTGTGCTTAATTATTTGATTACCCAATAAGCTTAGCTTATCTGGATATATAAAGGACTTGGGTGGCACTTTAGAGTAGTAAAAGACAACGTGTCTTGTTTCAGATAAAAACTGTACATAGAATAGTTGTTCTTTACCTTTACAAAACCCCCGGCGGGGGGCAGAGTCCTGGAAGCGGTGTTGCTCTGCACACGAGCAAGTGCTCAGTCTCGTCTGTGTATCGTTAATTTAGCAGAACATTCTCTATAGGTTAAATAATTAAATCTCTTTCTAAATGCTTGGACAGAACATAGAACTTCAGCATGATCTAGAGTCTTCCATCTTGGTGCTTGTCGTGCTGTCAGCAAGAGGTAATGTTCTTTTATTTGGTCTTTCTAGGCAGTTGGAGCAAATACAACTTGAGCTTACAAAAGCAAATGAAAAGGCTGTTCAGCTTCAGAAAAATGTGGAGCAGACAACACAGAAAGCTGAGCAGACTCAGCAAGAAACTCTCAAGATTCATCAAGCAGAACTGAAAAATATGCAGGATCAGCTAACAGACATGGTAAGAAGAACTTTTAAAAGCACCAGCTAACTCTGTGCAGCATATGGTAGCGCTGCTTCTTTAACAGTGCTCCGGTTGGTTTATCTTCTGTCAGAAAAAGCACATCGACACTACCCAAAATCAGTATAAGGATCTTCAGGCAAAGTATGAAAAAGAAACTTCCGAGATGGTCACTAAACATGACGCAGAGATCAGAGGCTTTAAGCAGAACTTGCTGGATGCAGAAGAGGCACTGAAAATTGCGCAGAAGAAAAACGATGAGTTGGAAACACAGGCTGAGGAGCTGAAGAAGGAAGCAGAACAGGCCAGAGTATGTATACCCTGTTACTCTGCAAGTAATGTAACGTTTAAATCTTCCCGGTTCAGTGAAGTCTCTGTGGTTTGCCTGGCTTCATCGTTTCTTAGTAGGATTTTTGCAGTGTGTCTTTTTTGAACTTTTCCATGGTAGATTAATACTGGTCAGGGAAGAGACGCATCCGCAGCTAACTGGTGGTCTTCCCTAGGTTACACAAGAATCCCCGAAAGAAGGTTCGTCTGTGTCCGTAGATACCTGGCTCAGCACAATCCACTGGGGCCAAATCTGATTCTTTGTTTTTTAAACACATGAGCTTTCACTAAGATACAGTGTGAACTATTTCAGTGTTTCACACCTGAAACTGTGTTCTGGTTATGATCCTGTATTACATGCAACTTCTTAGTGTGGAGCTTGACCTCAGTAATCTTTTTTTTCTTCCTGTTTATTTGACATTGCTGCTTGCTTTCATCCCTCATTAGTTATTTGCTATGATCTTTGTTTGATGCTTTAGCAAAATATTGTCTAGACTGGCACACGAGTTGACTTTAAACACACCCCTGCTGTGGTGTTCAGCTTTACACGGGCTGTGATGATGTGTTTTGCACAGAATCGTGAGGACAGTTGGCTATGGAAGGTGAATTTGGGAATTGAAATCGGAGTCTGATATAACTCCCTGCGTTTTAATCTGCTTATTCTCCTGAAATCATTCTGGGGCTCTTTGTCTGAGTAAATTACTGAGTAATTTTTCTGTGTAATTCAGAAAATTTGCTGAGACTGGTTTTAAAAACAAGATGAAGTCTTGTATGGACAAACCTTCAAACCCTGATTTATGTTTTTTTAATCGAACCACTGAGAAGTTTTCCTGCCGTTGGTGGGTGTTTTGTAAGGAAATATCAGTGGTGGCTGTCAGCAACTGAATTCACACAGGGACTGCGTGTCAGTGTGTACAGTTTTTTAAAACTTAAATAACAATGGCTCTGTTTACCCTTAAACCACATTTCTCATTTGTCTCCTTGACTTCATTTTTGTTTTCCCTTCTCCCTGACTTTTTCCATAGTCCTTAAGCTCTGTGTTAGCATCAGCCAGAAAAGAGATTGAACTAATGTCAGACAAGATGAGGGGTTTGATATCAGAAAAAGAGACTCTGGCACAGGAGGGGAATACTTTAAAATTAGAGAGAGGTTCGTTGTTATCAAAACTTCTAGAATTGGAATCAAAGATTTCGTTAATGCAACAAGACCAAGAACAGCTCCGGACAATAAATGAAGAACTTAATTCAGAGAATAACAAAATTCTAAAGCAGAAGGAAGAAGCTGAGGCCAAAAGCCAGCAGGAAAGCACGGAAAAGGTAGCGCTGATTTCTGCGCAAAGCAGATTGCTCTCTGCAGTGGAGGCAGCGCAGGCAGACTTGCTGAAGATAACTCGAGAAAATGAAGCTCTCAGGTCCTCAGAGTCAACCTTGCTCCAGCAGCTGAAAGAACTTCAGGCCAGCAAAGATGCCATGGCTGTGGTATGCCAGAGACACATCGAAGAACGGGAAGAACTTGAGCATTATCAGAAAAGCCTTTTGGAAGAGAAAGATGCAATTGTTAAAGACAAAGATGAAGTTATTCGGAAGCTGGAAAGTTCTTGTGAGGCCCTGGCCAGAGATCAGAGAGAGCTAGTGCAAGAAGTGTCAACTCTGACTGCAGAGAGAGATTCAGCCCTAGGTAAACACTTGGATCTTAAAAATGCACATACAGCCTTAAAAACCGAAATGGACCGTCTGTTGCAGACAAGTCAGAGTCTGCAGTCCGAGAAGGAGTTGCTCCTTAAAAGCACAGAAGAGCTGCGTGTGAGTTTAGACAAGAGGGTCAGTGATGGCCGAGCGTTAAAAGTGAGAATGGAAGAGATGGAAGCAGAACTCGAGGCCGAACGTCAAGAACGGAAAAAAGCGATGGAAGACAGTATGGAGTTGAAGGATTCCCTTGCTCGTCTCTCTCATCATCTTGAGGAGATGAAAGCCTCAAGAGAGGTATCCAATTCTGAATGCGTTCAGTTACTTCAAGAGAAAGAGGCTCTGTCTTCATCAGAACGAAGGCTTTTGGCTGAAAGGGAGGAACTTTTAAATGAAAATAAGGCAATTTCTGAAAAGCTTGCTACAGCCACAGCAGACGCCATACTCGCCGAGAAGGTCCTCACTGAGAAAATAAACGAGCTGCACTTGGAAAAGGAATCTGTTTTTCTTAAGTCGTTGCAGTTTGAAAAGCACAATGAAGCTCTTCTTCAGGAGAAGAGTGAATTGGAGAACAAATACTCAGAGCTTCTTGATGAAAACGAGTCTTCTGCAAAGGCAATTTCCGATATGAGGAGAGAACATGAACTGGATGTCTCGGCCAGGAGAGCTCTGGCCCAGGAGAAGGCCATGCTCCAGGAGTCCATTGAAGCTCTCAAGGAAGAACTAAGCAAGAAGAATCTAGAAAATCAGGAGCTCCTGGCCTGTAAAGGTGACCTTTCAGATCTTCTGAAGGAGGCCCAGGATGCCAAGAGAACGTTAGAAAATGACCTGGCTGCCGCATCACAAGCCAGGCAGGTCCTGTCATCTTCATTCAAGGCCTGTGCCTCTGACAGGGAGATGCTGACACGAGAGAGGGCTGAACTGCAGGATGAGTGTCAGAAATTAAGCAGAGAGGCTGAGATGATGAGAGACGACTTAGCCGTGGAAAGGGAAGCTAGAAAACTGGACACAGAATCGTTTTTGTTGGAATGTATGGCACTTCAAAGCAACCTCAGCTCCTTGGGGAAGGAGATGGAAGAGCTGCAGGAGAAAAACAAAGAATTGCTGGCTGAGAACAAACTTTTGGTTCAGGGGAAAGAAGAATCTGAAACTAAACTGGTGGAAATAATGAAAGAAAAAGAAACCCTCTGTGCAGAGATGGAGCAGCTCACCAAGAGTATGGAACGGCTGCAGAGTGACTTTCTGTCCTTGTCTGCGTGGAAAGCAGAGCTCCAGGAGTTGCACAGCTCTGTCTGCGAGAGGCTAGGTGACCTTCAGCACAGGCATGAGGTGACCCAGAGGGAGAGAATACAGTTACTTGAGGAGAAGGACAGCCTGCTTGCTGAACAGAAGAATCTGGTCACCAGTAAGGAAGAAATACTGAAAGAGAAGGAGAAATTCTCCAAGGATTATGATAAACTGCAGGAGGAAGTAACACTTTTAGCACAGGCTAATAGTGACCTCTCAGGCAAATTGCTGGTCTCTCAGGCCAAAAATCAGAGGCTGCAGGAGGAGATGAACAATCTGGCTTTGACACTAAAAGAAACTGAGACTCTCCAGGCCCAAACGGTAGCGCAAAAACCAGAGGTATTGAAACACGTAGTTAAACAATCGAGTATGGTTATACTAATACTGAGCACTAACCCAGTGGTTTCCCTCTGCACTCCATTGCACCATCAGCACTTCATCTCCCTACAAACAGGCTGGAATTACTGTCTCTCAATATATTATTTTGTTGTTTTCAAGTTGAAACTGTGAGATTGAAAGGCACTTTAATTTAAAAATATTTCTAACTATAAAAGCCTATGCAGTTGCTGAATGGTGCAAGAAAACAAAGTAAACTGTGAATAAAAGGAAGTTCTGGTTCCTAAATCTGGCAGGAGAACCTGAGCAGCTCCTTCTGTTGCAGTACTCTGCAGCTGAGAGCTGGAGCAGTCACAGATGTGGTGATGAGACTAGCTCTTTGTGCAATTTCTGTTAAACTACAAATCTGGGTTACTCTGAAAACCCTATAAACCAATATACTGCTCCTACAAATGTAACTGGATAAAAAGCAGAGTAAGAGAACCATTTAAATTGATGTTCTGGAACTTTCAGTCTGTTAAAGACAGGGGAAATTCTGGTGTTCTTTTTATTCACAGAAGTGTTCTGTATTCACCACCAACAAATTCTGAATATTACTTTGAATTTCAGTTTGTGGGGCTTGAAGCCTATAAGAAAACCTTTGGATACAAATTGGAATCAAGCTATCCCGTAGGAATGTATTATGCCAAACTAAGCATCTTAATGTACTCTTGAAGTGCTTCCTTTTATGAGGGCATAATGAACAACTCTGAAACGACGCAATCATTGGCTTCATCGCCTATTCCATTTAAAATTTTTCAAATTTGTAACTCCACACTTTTTGGAAACAGAGCAGTCTGTTGGCAGTGAATATCTCTTGAGCTACTACTGTCTGAAGTGGCTGGAAGCCTAAGAGGGATCACAGTGGTTGCAGTTAGGAATCCAGGAGTTAAAGAAAGAAGAAACGGGCTTCCTCAGGGGTGACACAAGCATGGGGTTATGATCTTCTTCTGCATGGAACTGAATCTTCTCATGTCCATGTATTTTTATACTTTATGCAGCTTCAAAATGCAAATAAATTCCCAGCTGAAGTCCTTGTTTAATTGGAGAGCAGCTGGCAAACAGTGGAGCTGTGCATAAAGTACTGTGGTTGCTTTTGGAGGTCCCTTTGGTAATGCTTTTTTTTTTCCCCACCCCCACTACCCCCCTTTCTGTACAGGCTGCCAGGATGGCAGAAGATGTTTTCCAGACTGTGGAGAAGGTGACCAAAGAGAAGGATGCCATTCACAAAGAAAAGATTGAAACTTTGGCCTCTTTGGAGAACTCTAGGCAGACAAATGAGAAGCTGCAGAATGAAGTAATCACATTTAAATGCTTTTTTCTGTGAAAGGTTTTGCCTAGTTTGTAAGAAACAACTATTGAATTACAGAGAATTAGCTCAGGCAGGGGCTGATTCTCTTGTTTTCCCACCACAATACTCAGTCTTGACTGGCTTGTGAAAGCTTACTGGGTGAGTGCATACTGATGGAAATCCAGGTGCTTTATACGGCCGCTTAGCCCATGGCCTTTTCTATTTTGCACGTGGTTTCAAATGCTTTACAGTGTGTGAGGTCATGTCCCCTAAATCTTGGTGCAGCAACAAAAAACTTAACAGGTAATAGCAGTTCTGGGTGCTGCAGTAGCTTTTGCAGGTCTCAGAATCAAGAGACACGGTTTGACTTCAGGCCTACTCAGTCTTGCTGTGCAGCTTGGGGTAGCTTGCTTAGACGTGCCCGCTGTGTGCTTCAGTTCCCTGGTTGTGAGGATGGGGTGCAGCTTCGCGCTCCAGCAAGGTGCTGCAGAGCTCTGAGTAACGCTACTCCTCATCCACAGGAATTATTGCTGCAGTTCTCGCCTACCATGTGCTCCTGGCTCTGCACATCCTCTTTGAGGTCTTTACCTGTGTGATGTTATCATTTCTTCTTTTTTACACCATTCTGCTAATCAGCATTGTGGTCTGATGAGGTGCAAACTGCTGAGCTATGCACAGGGCATACAGGAGCACAGTGGTCCCAAAGAACTTCACAGTCCAACATGTACAGCAGTTCCTCGAGGGACCTGCTCTTCAGGCTGTGGTCTCCCACCACGCTGTGATACTTCAGGGTTTGAAGGAGGGAAAACCGACCTCGCTAATCTTTTCCACAGTCTTTCGTAGAATCACAGAATGGTTTGGGTTGGAAGGGACCTTAAAGATCATCCAGTTCCACCCCCCCTGCCATGGGCAGGGACACCTTCCACTAGACCAGGTTGCTCCAAGCCTCATCCAGCCTGGCCTTGGCCTCTTCCAGGGATGGGGCATCCACAGCTTCTCTGGGCAACCTGTGCCAGAGCCTCCCCACCCTCTGCGGGAAGAACTTCTTCCTGATATCCAATCTAACCCTCCCCACTTTCAATTTAAACCCGTTCCCCCTGGGCCTGTCACTACAGGCCCTTGGAAAAAGCCCCCCCCAGCTTCCTTGTAGCCCCTTCAGGCACTGGAAGGGGCTGTAAGGGCTCCCTGGAGCCTTCTCTTCTCCAGGCTGAACAAGCCCAACTCTCTCAGCCTTTCATCACAGCAGAGGTGCCCCAGAGTATCTCATCTAACATTGAACCGACATCTTTGCTGTAGATCTTGAGGTCCGCAGGCCTCCTTGCATGGCTCTTTCACCTTTTGCAGCTCCCGCAGTAATGGGTAGTGAACAGCTGGGCTGACCGAAATGCCACAGCTTGTGCTGCAGCAGCAGTGATTCCCAACAGGATTTGATGACTCGAGAATTAGAAGTGGTGACGTTCATAATGGCAGGGGTTTGCTTTCTGGATTTAGAAAAACCCTAAAAATCCCCGGGGTCCTGTAATGCCGTGAGAATGGCTGAAGATTATCTGTTATGTAATGCAACGTGTGCCTGAACGAGAGCAAACTGGGTTCACTGGCTTGTGGTGTGCGCGTGGTAGAGGCAAGCTCGCTCACTGGGTAGAGATACGCAACTCTGGGTCCCATGCAGCAGGCGCTCCGAGGGGAATTAATTTCTCGCGGTGGCAAGCACAACATTCAGCCTGCTGTTTCCCAGAAATTAAGGTATGGTAAAGCAGAACTTTTTATCAGTTATCTGAGAGGAATGAAGAAAAGAGAACAGCTAATTTTAGCAACAAATGTTGAGTTTAAAATAAAAAAAGTGTTTTGAGTTGTACCCCAGAAATGTAAAATGGAGTTGCTTTACCCTTTCTGTCGGGTATGTCCGTCAGATCACTGTAAGCTGCTCTTCCGTGGACTTTGAATTGTTTGTGCTGCTCAGCTTGAATGCAGAAAGTCTCTAACACTTCTGCTAGACCAGTGCTTCGCAGTACAGCCAGGCTGAGTTAATTTAAGGACTAAAGGTGAAAAAGGGGAACAGCTCACTCAGGGCCCCGTTTTGCCGAATGTCTTTTCGGAGTGCTGTGCCTGCAAACGCTATGGTTTCATTGTGTAACCAGGGGCTTTTTTCCTCTTTAAGTTGGACGTGCTTAAACAAAACAACCTGAAGAATGAAGAGGAGCTTAGCAAATCAAAAGAGCTTCTGAATCTGGAGAACAAGAAAGTGGAAGAACTCACAAAAGAATTGTAAGTATCTCCATGTTCAGCCTGTTACACCGTTCCTTTGTGGTTGCATTTACCTTGTGGTACTGCCTGTCAGTACTGCTCCGGCAGCCTCGCCGGTGAAGCAGATGTCAGGTCAAAATTAAATATTACTTGGACGGGTATAAAACTGGAAGTCAGAGTGTTGCTCCCAAGTTGCCAAAGGGTACTGACGCAAACTCTTCGCTCCCAGCATTGTCTGAAATAACCTGTTTGTTGGAGGAAGTCTGGAGTTCTGCCGCTTGAGGGCACTAGATCATTGTAAAAGCTTTATTAGGAAGAAATTCCGTTTGGATTTAATTACAAGTACTTCTGGAGTGTTAAGGAGTTTTACGTGGCTTCATTTATAGAAAATCTGGTTCTGCTTTTATTTTTCGCTGATGGCTTTATCCAGTGTATTCTCGTTGCCCCACGTTGACGGGTGCAGTCCAAAAGCTGTATATAGTATGTAAAACGAGAGTTAATTGCCTGTTCTTTGGAATGCTTCCTTTGAGAAACTGCCTCTTCCTAACTGCAAACTAATGACGTGTAACACCATCCACAAATGAGCTGCAAAGCATCTGGTACAAAGTCACTTCCCCTGTGGAATCGCAGTGTGTCAGGGCTTTCCGTGTGCCAGCCTCCACAGAAGTCCAGCCTAGTCATTGCTGCCCTTGGGTAGCTGCGTGTCCCCCAGCCTTGGAGATGTCGTGCGTTATGTCACGGATCTTTGCTCTCACCTGCACTCTGGGAAGAATTGCTTGACTCATGGAGTGAAGCTGGAATCTGGGCTGGGAGCTAAGAGCAGCTTTGCCTAATTACTGTTAGTTCCGCAAGTCCGTTTGTGACTGTCCTTAAGTGCCGCCCTGAGGTGAGGGCAGGACACAAAGGACACCAGCACTCAGCATTAAATCTAAGTTTCTCTATGACTGACAGCGGCCTCCTTTGAGAAAGGCAGGATTTCATTCCATGAGCAATTCCTACCTGCCTCGGTGCTCCTGGGAAATGCCAGAGCAGAATAATTATATCCCGACTAGTTGCTCTAGTGCCAGAACAGCAAGGGGCCAGCAGACGGGCATCATGGGAAGACAGAATATTTTAGACTGAAGGTCCTTCCTTGAAAACCCTCAGCACCGAAAGGTGTTCTCACGGTCCTGATCGCTCTGTGGGCTCTTCAATCATTGGGGTTTTCCTTACGGTTAATCTGAGTCATAGCCTGTTGCTGAACGTGGTCTCGGATCATCAGTGGTATGAGATGTTGTGGCTAAGTAGAAGCTTGTCTGATTGGTTTTTAATTAATCTTTGTTGCTATAATTATTTTGTGTGTTGCCTTGTTTTAGTTAAGAGTCAGGAATGCGCTCAGTAGCGGGCACTTTCATCACGAGCAGGACCCCTTGGAGAGGTCTGTGGGTGGAGGTGCCCTTGCCTTTGCCACGGAGAGTGGAGGGAAAAGGTTGCCTGGGGGAGCTGTGGCCGTAGGGGGGACATGCTGCTGCCTTTTGGAGGTGGGAGGGTGTCACGGTGACCTTGGTGCCCTGTGCAGAAGAGCCTGCCACGTAGAACTCGGGTGAAGAAAAGCAGAAGGACGGCCTGGCTGTTGTCTGCTCACTGGTGCTGGGTACGCCCAAGTGCAGCCATCAGTCTAATGTTACGTGGTTGGCGCTGAACACGGGAGCGTTGCGCTCAAATCGACCCCCATGTTTCCTGTGCTTTTTTAACGATGCCCTGAGTCTGCACTTGCGTGCCGAAAGCAAAAAGCGGAGAGCTGGGTAGTGCTGCAGTTCAGCACCGATCACGGTTAAGACTAGGTACGTTCCCGCATCAGTGAGTGGATTCACACCAGGATAATTGGATTATGTGATGTGAGCGAGCCTGTTCAATCCAGCCTGGCTGGAGCGGGTTGGGAATCGGTCAAGGTGAGACCAGAGAGAAGAAATGGTTGGAAAATCTCACCCACGTTACACACTGAATTTGAAGAGTAAATCCGAACTCCTTTGTTTAACCGTGCCCAGTAACAGACCGCAGAGTCCTGGTGTTTTATACCGCTTGTGTTTTGAAGTGCTTTAGGTTTCTGACTTAGGGCTTCTCCTACCGCCCACAGTCATGAAGGTATTTTTAATATTCCGGTCAGGGTTTAACTCTGCAGTGGTGGCACCTCGGGACTGAGACTCCTTTCTCGGAAAACAAAAGCAGTCATAAAAATTACTGTTTAGTGGGGTGAACGAGGCCTGTTTATTTTTGAAAGACGTCAGGTCTCGCAGGAGCTCGTGTCGGTCGGTGGGACAGGCAGGCGTGCGAAACACCCCATTCAGACATTTGCTGAAAACAAACTTCCTCCAAGGAGGCCACGCGGGCTCGTGACAGCTGCCCCAGTCCTTTTTTGCGTTCAGCTTTTGTTCTGTGTCTGTTAAAATGATGAGAACAGATGAGGTACTTTCCTGTTTCGCCTCCTGCGATCTTGCACTTTCCTGTATGTTGGGTGTCAGACCTTGCAGGCGGTATTTGAAGTGGAACTCTTAACCTTTTTTTATTGTTATTATTTTTATTTTTCCTTTATTTTGTCTCTTTTTTTTTTTTTTTTGGCACCCCACCCGTTTATTGTTTGTACCAGTTCTCGTGTCTGACCCCTGGCTACAGAGTGACCGGGGCACATTCACTTCTGCAAAAGCCCAGGCTGCGCGCCGCGCCAGCGCTCCTGTCAGACCCTGCCCTCTCCGTCTAATCCTGAGCGTTGCTGTCCGTGGGAAGCAGCAGGACTCGCTCTCTGATACATTTAAAGGAGGAGGAGTCTTGTGCTGCTGCTTCTCAGGGTTAAACCTGCCCCTGCTCATCCGAGGTGCAGATTGTCACCTTTATGATAGATCCAATCCCATTAGACACGTGACGTAGATGTATTTTTCCAAGCTGTGGAGCTGAATCTCTCCCACAGTTTTTTCTTGCCTCTCCGGTTCCTATGGTAACTATGCACTCTCTGTCCTCGCAGCGAAGCGCTGAAGCTGGCAGCGGCTCAGAAGTCCCAGCAGCTTGCGGCTTTGCAAGAGGAGAACGTGAAACTTGCCGAGGAGCTGGGCAGGAGCAGGGACGAAGTCACAAGTCATCAGAAGGTAGAGTGGCTGGAACGTTGCCTGATCTGTGCTGAAAGGGCTGCGCGTGCCGTTTCCGCTGAGGCCTGGGTGACGTTGCTCTGCATGTTTGGGCTTGAAAGATGAGTTGTTGAGAGAATATCTTAAAAATTGGAAGCCACCCGCACTGGGAGGTTAGAATGCAGGCTAACAGAAGGTTACGTAAGCCGGGAAGGGTACTTGGGAGGCTCAGGAATCGGCATAAATTAAATATGCCTTAGCCAAATGTATTAACAGGCACTTGCTATTTCTGTCGGGAGTAATTTTGTTACACAACCATGGAAATCTCCATCGACCCAGTACTAAGGAAATCCAGCTATTTAATTCTCCTCCTCATTCTTGCTCTCCTTTCCCACTGAAAACAAGAGCGTTTGGGATGTTTTGTAGGACGCGGTTTAAAACAACTTGGTTGGATTCTGTCTCCACCAGCGCTGTGCACGTGTGTGCTTGCTTCCACTTCGTGCTGTGCCTGTACGTGAGCGCTGCTGCAGCCAGGCAGCGGGTGCTGAGGACTAGAACTGATGTAGCATGTTCTTCTGCTGGGAGTCCATGGGGGAGAAAAACACTTCTCTTACGTTGCATTTTTTATTGTAAATGTTGTTGGAATCTTAAAGTACAGGCTTAGTTACAGAGCCTGTTAACAGTGGTACTTGCCAGCAGAGCAGTCAGATTTGCAGCCAGAGATGCAGTGGGTTTATTTCTTGCGGGGCAGTTCTGGTGACGGCCACACCACGACTAGAGGAATGTAAAAGACGGGTTTATACACTGCCTTTCTGGGAGAGCACTGTGCAGAGGAGGGGTATGCCTGTTCCCAGTGACAGCAGAACAGATCTCTTCCATCCTGCAGTGAAGCCCAAGATGTGCAAAGCCAAGAGCCTGACTTTTCCCCAAGAATCCTGAAGTGCTGAGGGTGGGTGACCACAGATCTGGCCAGTTCCTAGGAATGTAAAAGACGGGTTTATACACTGCCTTTCTGGGAGAGCACTGTGCAGAGGAGGGGTATGCCTGTTCCCAGTGACAGCAGAACAGATCTCTTCCATCCTGCAGTGAAGCCCAAGATGTGCAAAGCCAAGAGCCTGACTTTTCCCCAAGAATCCTGAAGTGCTGAGGGTGGGTGACCACAGATCTGGCCAGTTCCTAAACCCTTCTGGCTGCTGGCAGGAGTAATGCACGAGCTCCTCCATCCTAAAGAGCCTTTGGAGATGATGAACGAGAGTCCCAGACGTGTGGGCTCGGGCACTGACTCATGCCGCATCTGAGTAGCGGTGTGGTAGGAGAACGCTGTCATCCCAAACAGCCAGTGGGAGCTCTGCTCCCCACCCCCACATGTTTTCTTAAATTATTTCAGAATCTTGGAGGCAACCTGTTATTTTCAGAGAGTTGTAACTTGAAAAGGATTGGGCAGCATTGGCCGCCTCTTTCTGCCTAGTGTGTGTAGCCAGGGTTGGCACGCAGAACGTCCCCGGGGGAAGGGGCCCTTCAGCCCACGAGCCGTAGGCTGGCAGGGGTCGCTGCAGGCTCAGTCTGTGACGCCCTTTTTTCAAGATGACCTTGCAAAGGAGTCCTGCTGTCTGCGTCCTGCCTGCTGTGGATCTGTCGGCAGGGATCCTTCTCTCCTTGCCAGGATAGAGCTTAGCCTGTGAGCGCAGGGATCCGTCGGTCACCCTGCCAGCTGGGATCTTCTGGGTGCACTTGCACCCTGGCACTTTCTGCCCATGAGGAGATGGCTCCCAGACCGAAGATCTGCTACAGCCTGGAGAAACTCCGTTTGCCTTCTTCAGCCATTTGTGTTGCGTTACGCCCTCTCCTGCGAGGAAGATCTCATTCCCACATTTCCGAGATTCGGGTTACATCTGTTGCATTTCCTACGTGTAATATTTGGGCTATGGAGTCCTTAGGTCTAGTGAACACGGGGATGGCCTACTCCTGCGCCCGTAAGATGTAGAACATCCAGCCCTCCCGGGCTGCCTCCCACGGGACTCTGTCAACCAGGCCCCTAAAGAGGCCAGAGTCAGCCCCCCAGCAGCCCAGGGTGGCGTTTCTGCTGGCCCCCTTCTTACTTCTCCCAGGACTGAAAACCCTGTTGATAATGCCGTGATCACTGTGCCCAGGACGGGCTCCAGCCATCACATCCCCCGTCCTTCTCTGCTCACAAACAGCAGCTCCAGCGGGTGCCCCCCTCGTTGGCCCCTCACCAGCTGTGGCAGGGGGGGCTCTTCCCACACTCCCGCCCCCG